GAGTAAGCTGTCAATGCTTCATAAAAAACCCAGGGACTGGCAGTGTGAAGGATCAACAGTGAGAGGTGGGCACTGCTCAGGCAGATCTAATAACTTGAGAGAACTTCAACATGTCAACAACGTCCAAGATCTAAATTTCAATGGAAGTTGCTCATGGACCATGTCAGGAGATCCCTTTCATTAGAGGATGCAGTGATAGAGTTGCAGCTATAACCTTTCCTTGATGGCCCCCTCTTTGTGGCATCAAACTATTATCTCCAAAAGCCCCAGCCCATTGCAGGGAGAATGAGTGTGGTAGGCTTTGTACATTGCAGAAGGTCACTCTGCCCCAGCACTGGCGGTGTGGCAGAATTGCTTGTAATAATAGTTTAAGCATGAAATCTGGCTCCCAGTACATTCTGGCAACAGCTGATATATCTCCTGACACTCCCTGGGAAACTTCTGGTGGCAGGAATGCCATCTGAATGTGGCTCTTTGCTATTTTCCACCTCCTGTCTCACCATCATGGGCAAGGAAATTCAGGTAATAATTTGTTTTCCTTTCAGCAGCTGGACGATCACATTTCCAAACTAACCTTTTATCGGGCATTTTTCAGGATCTGGAAAGCAAGAAGTTTCTTGTCATCTTTGTCTGTTTATCCAAACTCACTATTCCCAATGCATTTCTTTCACCACATTTAACCCTCAAGTGATAGAAATAAACAAACTGCACAAAAAAAAATTCACTTAAAATTTTGTTAGAGCCTTTTATTTGAAGGTTGTAGATGGGTTGAGACTGTGTAAAATTACAGAAGGAACTCATGATCCCCTGCTTCTTTATCTGGGATGTTTTAAGGTCTGTTTTGGATAATACAATAAAAACAAAGAACTGTGGGTAGATTTCAGCAAAAAAGCTACTTATATTTTTGACCAGTGCAAGGAGAATCGTACTGTGCCAAATGCATCACCACCATGTCCTTACTCGTCTGGATAGAGTTCAAATTCCAGTTCTTGAAATATATCTACATAACCACTTTCCTTACATTTGCTTCCTTTTCTGTTACTAGCCCTGAAGTTGACGGTAGCCAAGTGGAAATTGATGGTCTGCAAAAACGAATAGAAGGTATGTTATGAAACAGCTTTAAACACAGCTCAGACTGATAAATTTTTTTTTAAATGAACTTGTTAAGACATGTGACCTCTGGAACAGATGGGACTGAAACTCAGATCTCTTGGGCTCGACCACTGCATCACAAGAGATCTAAAAATGCGAAGGCAAAGGATTATTACCTTCTGCATTGGGGTCAAATGTTCAAAACTTGCTCTTTTAAAATAATCCTTATGGAGCACATGATATTTGAATAATTGATTTACAGTGACACAATTAGGGTAATGTTTTGTCCTTCTGATTATGTATATCATCTGTATACATGGAACATGTATAAGTCTCATACAGTAACTGATTGAATTTGGCTGTGCAACCTTGATTTCCTATTTGTCCCTGAACTGAGCTTCCAATGCTTTATCCTTGACATTACAAAGGAAAGCCACTGCCTGCTACTGAAATTTTTATTCTTGTCATTATCATCTCCAGCTTTGACTATTCCAGTGCTCTTCTGGGCAATTTCCTAACCACCATTTTGTGCAAATTTCAGCTCATCCCAAAACTCTGCTGTTCATATCCTTCCCCATGACAAGACTTACTGTTCATCATGTTCTGAGGAAGGGTCACTGGATTCAAATTGTTGACTCTGCTTTCTCTCCATGGATGCAGCTGGATCTGCAGAAATTTCTGCTTTTGTTTCACTATCCATCATCTCCATTCTTGCTGGTCTTTGTTAGTTCCTGGTACCCAACCCTTCTTATTTAAAAGATAAGGGTCTAGGCCTGAAACGTCAGCCTTCCTGCTCCTCTGATGCTGCTTGGCCTGCTTGTTCATCCAGCTCTACACCTTCTTATTTAAAGTTCTCATTTCCATGAATTTATTGCAAGGAGAATAGAATATGAAAGGGGTGATGTTTTGCTACAGTGGTGAAGATTGCTGGTGAAGCCATACCTTGTGTACTGTATATAGTTTCAGTTTCCTTATGTAAGAAAGCAGGTTAATGTGTTGGACATCAACTGATGAGGAAATATCTTATGAGGAAAGTTTAGACACGCTAGGCTTGTATCCTTAGAAGTTTAGAAAAATGAGAGATGACCTTATTGAAATATATAAGATGTTAAGTGGACATGATGGAGTGGATGCTGAAAGGGTGATCCCCCTTGTGAGAAAGACATGAATGAGAGAACACACTTTAAAAATAAGGAGGCTTCCACTTAAGATGGAGACGAGGATTTTTTTTCTTTCAATGGATCATGTCTTTTTGAAACTTTCTTCCCCAGACTGTGATGGAGGGGTGGGCTTATTGAATACCTTTAGATTGACTCCCTCAGTAATCAATAACCTTTGAGTATCAAGAATGGGCAAGAATGTGGAGTTGAGGCCACAGCTGTATTAGTAATGATCTTATTAAATCATGGGCCAGGCTTGCGGGGCTGAATTTGTAACATTTGGAGGGCATGTGACATCAAATAATAATGTCCAGTTTTTGCATGGTCAAGACAATTTTCAAGCAAGTTGCTAGGTCACCTACCCACTCAGAAATGTTTCTGTTTTGGCCTCACAGAAGAGCAGAATTTAAGTTAATGCTCTTTGATAAGGAATTACATGATTTTGATGCTAGAGTGACAGTGATATATGTCCATCTCAGGATACAGCTTGACAGAAGGGGATCTTGGGAGAAAGTAGTGTTCTCTTGCACATGCTGCCCTTGTTTATCCAGTGTCAGGGCTGTTGGTTTGGGAGGTGCTGTGAAAGCTCAATCATCTATTTGGGTATAAAGTATATCATGATTTTACTTCCCAATAGTTTCCAAGTGCTCAGCATATGAGTTTCATTGTCAATGACATCTCTGTCTTACAAGCAGGGTATGGAAATCCTCCCAAATAATTCTGACTGTGTTAACTGTTATTTTAATACCTCTTAAAAAAAATTCAGGTCTTCCTTGCGGCAAACCTCCTCCTCTGAAATATGGAAGATGGAAAATCAAAGGAAGAGTAGCCATATACAGTTGTGATGCTGGTTTCGAAATGGTGGGAAAAGCACAAACTATCTGCATGCCAAACTGTCGTTGGAAGGATCCTGCACCAGCTTGTGTTGGTAAGAGCATCAATACGGTAACCTACCATCAACTGCTCCAGGTGATCAATTGGTAAATTGATCGGGGTTCTGTTTTAATTCAAAATGAACAAAGGAAACCTCAACAAATGACAACACCTTCCATTCGCAAACCATTTCAACTCCCCCTCCCACTCCCTGGGGGACATGTCCATCCTGGGCCTCCTCCAGTGTCACAAGGACACCACCCACAAACTGGAGGAGCAGCACATCATATTCCGCCTTGGGAGCCTACAGACCGATGATCTCAATGTGGACTTTACCAGTTTCAAAATCTCCCCACCCACGGCCTCACCCCATGACCAACCCTCCCTCTCAGCCCCGCCTCCTTGACCTGACACAACCTGTCCATCTTCTCTCCCACCTATCCGTTCCTCCCACCTCATTGACCAATCCCCACCACTCCCTACTTACACTCACCTATCACCATCCCACCTACCTTCCCCAGCCCCACCCCTCCTCTCTCTATTTATTTCCGAGCTCCCTTTCCCCTCCCCCATTTCTGAAGAAGGGTCCCAACCTGAAACATCAGTTTTCCTGCTCCTCTGATGCTGCCTGACCTGCTGTGTTCTTCCAGCTCCACACTGTGTTATCTCTGACTCCAGCATCGGCACTTCTTACTATCTCTGATATTATAACAGTCTCCTGGTTAGCCAGCCATAATATGTAAGCAAGGACAGGAATCTCTGGGGTTAGCCATCAGTATGTGTTAAGACGATAGTATGGGCAATTGGTTTCACCATCTCTAAGCTAAAGGCAGGAAGGTTCTCACCCAGATGCAAAGCAAAAAGCAACAATAGCATGACTCTCACACTTCAAGGAAAGCAATGAAGGATGCATAAGTTTATAGCTGTTTGGTGTGTGTGGTTGATGTACACTAGGTATTGTCTACCACAAATGTCGTGCATTTCAGTAGCATCTCTTCGAGACTGTGCCCATATCTATGTAAATGTTGCAGAGGGCAGGATGGAGGTTAGACTTGATGCCCTCTTTCCGCTGTGACCGTCGATATTTACACCCGCTACTCGGCTAAAATACTGATGGAATCAGGCAACAATGAAACTAAAACTAGAAGGAGCTAACTCTTTCAGGCGAGGTAGGAAGAGATAAACATTAGCAGAATAAAAAGGAAACGTTGCAACATAAATTGAGCTAATCTCTCAGCAAAAGATGACTGTTTACTCTGTTTGAACCAGTAAGATTTTCTGCTGTAGATAAACTTCCATTTAATTCACAGGAGCAGCATGCAATTATTTCATACAGGTTTAGGAGAAATTGTTACATTTTTCAAAGAGTTGTATATGTGAACCCAACAAAACAGAAAATGGAAGCGAGGGCATCTGCAATTTCTTGATATGTGTTGCAGGCAGCTGAGGCATTGAAGAAAAGTTATTAGTTATACGGTGACAGCAAAAGGCAAGGGTGCATTGAGGCTGGGATGGAGCCCTCCAGACATGGATTAGAGGGAGAATTTAGTTATCTTTTCAAAATATGATTATGACCTCTCCTTTGCCTAAATGGGCACTATTAATAGTGTCCAGTGTTAATATTGGGCAAAAAGTGAGAAATATTTAAATTCCATCTCTGTCAAAGTTTCCTGTCCATATTTGGCCAGCCATAGTCTAGGTCTGATGTATCATTGCGCACATTTGGTGAGAACACTGCCTGGTGCAGGAGCTAGTGGAGCTGGTAATTGGTTGTTTCTTTAACTAGAGGGCAATATTTAGGGAGGTTCCTAATGTTCGATTAAGACCAATGCTTTTCTTGACATATCTATTTCAAAATTAGGCCAATGACACAAAGTTAGGAAGTATTGTGGACTGAGGGAGTCAGAGGGGCAGGTGGAGTGAGTGACCAGATCAAGTTTAATGCCGAGAAAAACAAAGTGATGCATTTTAGAAGGAAGAGTGAGGAGAAACAATATGAAATAAAAGTCACATTGTAAAAAGGGATTGCAGGAACAGCAAGGCAAGAAGCTTTACATGCACAAATCTTTGAAGGTGGAGCTATGTCTCTATTCCATCAGCATCAATGGGTCAAAATCTGAGAATTCCCTTCTGCAGAGCATTGTTGGTATAACCATATCCAAAGGACTGCAGTGGTTTGTGAAGACAAGTTGTCAATACAGGACAGTTAGAGGTAAGCAATAAATGCTGGCTTAGCCAGCAATACACACATCCCATGAACAGATATAACAAAAAGCTGGTAGTTTAGCAAAATAGCTTATGGAGCATAAGAATGCCAGAGCTGTGGAATATTAGGCCTCTGCAGAGTGAAATAAAAAGCTGAGGACCAGCAAGGATGTATTCCCCAATTTTCAGGTGGTAGGTAGCTCCTGGACATTTTTAAAGTACTAGTTTGGCAGCAACCGGAGTATTGTGTCCAATTTTGAACATCAGATTTTAAGCGTGAAGATACTTAAGAGAATGCAGCAAATATTTACAAGAATGGTTCTAAGGAATTACTTGCAAACAGCTCAGTGAAGATAGTTTTCTTTAGAGATGAGTAGGTTAGGAAATGTTTTAATAAAGGTGTTCAAAACCATGAGAGTTTTAGACAAATCAGAGATGTTCCCATTGGAGGAGAGATCAGAAACCAGAGGACATTGAAGTAAGTTGCAATGGTGACATGAGGAAAAGCTCCTTTCACAATGCAAATGGGTATTGTCTGGGAAACACTGCCTGAGCATATGGTGGAGGCAGATCCATCATGATTTTGAAGCACAATTATATAACAATCAGAAGAGGACTAACTTGCAGGGCTGTGAGGAAACGTTAGGGGAGTGCGACTTGATGTATAGCTTTTACAAAGACTTAGTCTGGACAGAATGAAACTTCTTTTCTGCTGTATCCATTTTTTGATCCTACGAATGCAGTCAAGTAAATAATTAGATTCTTAAATGTCAGCAATACAACAAGGTATTCCTTTTTCTTCCAGCTATATTTTATGGACCAAGGGGTAAGAAAGGTGAAACTGGACCATCTGGACCACCTGGCCCTAAAGGTGACAATGGACAACCAGGTGACATTGGGTGGAGGGGTCGCAATGGAATGGATGGGGCACCAGGTGCACCAGGGTCTCCTGGAAGACCTGGTAATGCTGGATGGCCAGGACCACAGGGACTACGCGGTCATCCAGGTACAAGAGGTGTGAATGGACGCAATGGTGTACCAGGACATAAAGGACCCCCAGGAATGCCCGGACCAAGAGGACTGGTTGGTCCAAATGGACCTCCAGGTCCCATGGGAGAGAAAGGTGATCCTGGCCCAATGGGACCCAGTGGACCAAATGCCTTTTTGGTATCGACTGCATTTTCTGCTGTACTTGACACCAACAATCCTCCATCTGGCATACCAATTGTTTGGCAGAGAACAATCTTTAATGGGGATGGAGATTACCAGCCTGAGACAGGCATCTTCCTAACGAGGATACCTGGTATTTATCGTTTCCATTACATTCTCCAAGTATATTCAATGAGTGCTTATGTAGTTTTCAAAATAAATGATGCTATTGTCTGGAGCACCTTCCAACCTTTTAATTCCTATTATGAAGTTGCATCAGGCGGTTTAGTAGTAAGTCTGAACCATGGAGATCGAGTTTGGTTAGAGATAATTGATAACTGCAGTGGCATATGTAAACACTCTACTTTCTTGGGACATCTGATAAGTCCATCTTTCAAAAAATGATTTTGAGACATTGCCTAGATTTTTCGTTAGCTTTATTTTAATGCCAGTGATACTCCCATGGATTTAAACAATGCTGTTCGGAAAACCTAGTCGTCACTCTTTGTTTTTGTGTATCTAATTCTAATAATCATTGTTGTGATTCTTATTTAAACCTGCACCTCTGGGTGAAGTTCTTCTTATATTTCAGAACTACTCATAAAATAATCTTGTATAAAGTATATCAGTTTAAAGGACACAGTATTTCTTTACATAATTAAACATCATTATATTTTATCTGCCAGTCTAGCCTGCCCTGGTCAAGGCTAATCATGTATTACAGGTCTCAGACCTAAAGCTAATCAAATATGTACATTCTTCAGACTATTGGCTCTTTCAAGGCAAAATCAAGACCTGAAAATGCATTTATCTTCACATATTTCACACCACCCATGAACACTTCCTCATTAAATCAGCTCTCTGATCGGCAAGCATACTTTGGATTTGTCTTTATCCAGAACAATAAACCTGATTACATTGTTGCTTTCATTTCTCCTATCTCTATCCAAAACAAGACAAAATTGCAGGTGATGTGACATTGCTCAGATTCGAAAGTTGTGGAGGACACTTTGTGGTTGGGTGTAAGAATTTGAATTTTCAGCATCCGGGTGATTGTGTGGAATTCCAGCAGCACATCACTTGAAGTGAACTGAGACCTTAATGTCAGTAAAGTCATTATATCTACTACAGCCAAACTCACTACATTGACAGAGTATCCACCCTCATTTTTTATTGGCAGTAACCAAAGATTGTAAATAGGGAGTGAACCTAATGGGTTAGACTGTTGTTTAACTTTAGAAAGATGACGATTCTCATATTTGTTTGTTATTATAACAAAACTGTGGCTGTGTGCCAGTTCATTACTGTCCATTTTTATGAATTTTCAGCTGTGACCTGTTATTATAGCAGCCTCACAGCAGCTGCTCCGAAAGGTAATAGTCAATCTTCATGGCCATCTTTAATCTGATGTCTTTATTTGATGGATGTACAAGATTCAGATTTTCAAATAACTTACCATCAGATTGACAATGAGTTTACAAGTTTACAACGCACATCACTGGTGGCAGCTCTTGCCCTTCACAGTTTGGGACCTCATTAGCTGCAAGTTACCACTCAGTGTTACTGGTAACGCATCGTAGGAAAGGTAAAACACAATCTGCTCCATTTGTGTTCATTTCCTATCCAAATTTGTCCGATTCGAGAACATCTCACTTGACTCACAACACTGATTAAGGCCAATTATTAAGGTGAAAGTAATAATATTGGTTGAACTTTGTTAATCAGATATATTTTGTAATGTTAACATTCAGAATGTTCTGAACAATTGTAACAAATCACCTTTTTGATCTTGAGTACGAGGGAGCCCGGTAGATTATTGGACTCAAAGCAGTTTGCTGGAACTATCCTTTTTAAATGTCAATTCCTGTGAAAATTCAACTGTATGGAAATTTTTCAAAGATACACAATAAAGAATTCCGCACTCTCATCAGTGTCAGATTCAAATTGATTTACTCCATTGAGATTAGTGAGTTTATTTTCTAAATTTGAGTAATTAAACAAAAGCAAGTGCACTAGGATATTGGAAGACAGAAACAGAAAACCCTGGAAAAGTTCAGCAGGATGGACAGAATACTTAGATAGAGAAAAACAGAATGAATGCTTCAGGCTGATAACCTTCCATCAAAAATGGAAGTTATTAGAGATCCAAAAGTTTTTAAGTGTGCAGGGAGCTGGAAAAATCAGAGGTAGGAAGAAAAACACAAAGAAGAGGTCTGCAATAGAGTGGAGGGCAAGGGTGAAGGGGGTGATACTGCAAAAAAAAAAGAGAGAAAATGAGACAAAATTTGTATAAAGGTACATCCAAAGAAGATGTAAATTTCAGTAGAATGCCAAAAGGATGCATACAAAAGCTGGTAAAGGAGGAAGGCTGCCCTGGCTCATGGCCCAGAGAGGTGGATCAGATTCTAGTTTTATAGGGAATCATCATTCCAAGTACCAATCCAAACCTCTTCTGCTCCCAATAGCTATGGGGCAGGTACCTTCTTATATCAGCACCATCTATCCACAAGGGATCATGTGAAATCTAAATTTGTTTATCTGGGCGTTTAGATAATGAGTGCCTAATCGAAAGATCAAGAATATTTCTTGGACTTGCACTGGGATTCCTTGTGTAGGAAAGTAAAACAAGAAAGTCAGTATAGAATGGAGCATTAAAATGGCAAGCTAGTGGAAAGACCACATCCTAAATTCCAAATAGGTATTTCATCTTGGGATCTGATTGTGAAAAGAGAGGAGGTAAAGACAGGGTGTTGCAACTCCTGAGCTTGGATGGTAAAGACTCTGAAGAGGGATAGTGGACATTAAAGGCATTGGACCAGGATGTCATGGAAGGAATAATCCCATCAGGTTGTTAGAAGGGGAGGAAATGTGAAGATGTGTTTAATGTGCTTAGCCATACACTGATGGTGGCACAAATGGTGAAAGATCATCCGTTGACAATGGAGGCTGGTGATATAGAAGGTGAAATGTAGAAAGTCCCATTATACTCGGGGAAAGAGAGGAAATGTAAGGATGCACATGTGAGAGATCAGATGGAAGCACCCTAGAGCATTGTCAAATACAGTGCAGAAGAATCTTTGGCTGAGAAGAAAGATATTTTGGAAGGCCTGATAAAGAAGATATAATTGCTGGTGCAGATATGATAGAAGAGGAGAAAGTAATCATGATTCTAGGAAATGAGTAGGAAGATGTATAATTGACTTAATTTGTGAGCAGCTGAATGTGTAGTACAATTTGGTGGACAGCATGTCCCTGGAAATGCAGGTAAAGCAGAGGGAGTGAAGAATCAGACATGGACATTCATGATGTTTTTAGTTTGGACTAACTCAGGGTGGTGAGGATAATATTCCTGAATTACTTAAATGTAACACACTAGTAGGTCAGCTGGTGAAGCTGACAGAGCACAGCCTACCAGATAGATAGACTCAAACACCCCTTCACTCATTTTGTCAGGCAGTTGCTGAACACAGCAACCAATATTTCAATCTTATCAACCATCTCTATATTTGAATACATCTTTAAAGACTGTTATGCTTCACTGGGGTGGTGTGCTGGTTATCAATCCCCACCCTTCCTGCAGTTGGCACAAAATTTAAAGATTTTGAAAGTACACAAAATAACTGACTTTGCCTGATTTTTAGACTCACATTGACAAAAAAGAGCATGCACCAATTTTTGTACTTAACAAAAATGACTGTTTATTACAAATAAAGAGATTTTACATATAGGTAAACAATTGTGAACTGTTGACAAATAACTCTACTACTTAAAAGTCTAACCCCCTTATAACTGCCCCTCTGCACACACATACAAACAGAGAGAGACAGGAGAACATGGGTGTTATGGGTGGAAGGAAAGACTGGGAAAGCAGTTCCCTGTTGACATTGGTTTTGCTGGGATGATAATTGTGTTGGTCAGAATGCTGTTGCCTTCTCCTGTTATTTTCACTGTTTGTAGAAGGCACAGGGTGACGGGTTCATACTTATGAAGGCCTTTGACATCAATTAACAGTCACAGGTTACAGCAACAGGAATGGGGTTATCTTTAAGCTTGAAATGTTTCTTACTACAGAATAAAAGCAGTTCCTTCTCCTTCACAAACCAATGGTTTCTGCCAAATCATTCACACCCCAAGCTGTTCAGCTACCTGGAAATCAGGTTCATAGTTGTTGACAGGCAAATGATAACTGGTCACTAGTCCATTGACTGATTAGTTACTTGTTGCCAATGAAATTTCCACTGAATGCACACTTTAAATCCAGCCCATCTGCAAACTAGTTTTCCACTTTTGCTTGAACATGCAGCTGTGTAAACAGTGCTTGCAATGAGTGTCAGCTTGGTTGCTTTTTAAAATATTCAGCAATCCTTCCAACAGTTCTTGAATTTTAAACTAGTTCTTACCCCATTCCAGTCTATAATTTTAAAAAAGTGCCTTAGGAAGAATGGCAAATCTTCACCAGCCATTTCTCCACCCAATTTTCATTTCCCTGCCCAACTTTCCAATTGATCTTTATCGTGTAGTATCCTTTAGCAATCTTCCTCACTATGCACAACTCCACCAATTTTGTGTTGGCTGCAAACTTACTAATCAGACCACCTACAATTCATCCAAATCATTTACATATTTTACAAGCAACAGATGTCCCAGCACTGATCTTTGTGGAACAACCACCATCACGGACCTCCAGTCAGAAAATAGCCCTCCATAACTATCCTCTATCTTCGATGACCAAACTAATTTTGCATCCAACTTATCAACTCACCATGGATCCGGTGTGATCCAATGAGGGACCTCGTCAAAGGCCCTGTTAAAGTTCATGCAGATAACATCCATTGCCCTACCTTCATCAATCATCTTTGTCACTTCCTATAAAACTCAATCAAATTTATGAGGAAAAGCCTTCCCTGCACAAAGCCATGCTGACTATCACTAATAAGTCCATTCTTTTCCAAATGCAAGCAAATCCTGTTGCTAAGAATCTTCTCCAATAACTTCCCGACTTCTGATGTAAGACTGACTGGCCAATAATTTCCTGGATAATCTCTGTTGCCCTTCTTAAACGAAGGAACAACATTGGCTATTCTCCAGTCTTCTGAGACCTTGCCCGTTGTTAAAGAGGATACAAGATCTCTGGCAAGACCCCAGTGATCACCTCCCTTGCCTCCCTCGGTATCCTGGGACAGATCCCATCAGATCCTGGGGACTTACCTACCTTCATGTTTTTCAAGAGCCCCAACATCTCTCCTTCTTAATATCACCATCCCCCTCCCTAATCATATCATCAGCCATGCCCTTTTCCGTGGTAAGTACTGATGCAGAGTACTCATCAAGGATCTCACCCACTTCTGCTAGCCTCTCTTTCAAACAAGAGATGAATAGGGTGCAAGCAAGGTGCATACCCATGAGAAATAAATATGGGAATGCAGCATGAGGGTACTCTGCATGACCAAGGATATTGATGAAAAAACAAAGAAGTTAACGGCGGCATATGGTGCATATCGGAATAATAATAGCAATAGAAATCAGAAAGTGTAACTCAAATATGAAGAAAGAACAGTACAGCACAAGAAAAGCCCTTCAGCCTACCAAGACTGACACAATACACCTTTCTAAACAAAAATGTTTTGCCCCTACAAGGTCCATATCCCTCTATTACATGTCTATTTATTTATCTATCAAGATGCCTCTTAAATGGTAAAAACCAAAAGAACGGTGGATGCTGTAAATCAGGAACAAAAACAAAGTTGCTGGAAAAGCTCAGCATGTCTGGCAGCATCTGTGAAGGAGTAAACAGAGCTAACATTTCGGGTGCGGTGACCCTTGCTCGGTTCTGAGGAAGGGTCACCGGACCCGAAACGTTAATTCTGTTTTCTCCTTCACAGATGCTGCCAGACCTGCTGAGCTTTTCCAGCAACTTTGTTTTTGTGCCTCTTAAATGGTGCTTTGTATCTATCTCCACCAGCTCCTCTGGCAGTGCATTCCAGGCAATTACCACCCTCTGCGTAAAAAAATTGCCTGTAATATGTCTTTTAAACTTACCCCTTTTTAGCTTAAATCTACCTGCCCTAGTAAATGACATTTATATCCTGGGGGGAAAAAAACCCTGACTTCCATTTTATTCATGAATTTCAAAATTTTGTAAACTTCTATTAGATCACCCCTCATTCTTCAACATCCATGGGAAAACAAACCAAGTTTGTCCAATCTCTCCACACAGCTAATACCCTCCAAACCAGGCAACATCCTGGTAAACCATTTCTGTAAATAACAAAGATCAGTGCAGGAGAAATGCTAAGGCGCGAGTAAGGAAGGCTAAGAGGAAGCATAAGGAAAAGATGGCAGGCTGTACTAAAACAAATACTGACAAGTTCTTCAAACATTAATAGTAAATGATTAATGAAGGATGGAGTGGGGCCTATATGGAACAAGGAGGGTAAACTGCTCACTGAAGCAAAGGGTATGGCAGTGATACTAAATGATCACCTTGTTTCTGTCTTTACCAAATCAGAAAATGGTAACCATGGCCCAGTTGAAAATGCGGATAGAAACATAAAACATAGAACCTAGAACAGTACAGCACAGTACAGGCCCTTCGGCACACGATGTTCTGCCGAACTTTTACCCTAAACCTAATGTCTATCTAACCTCCACCCCTACCTTATACTATCATCCATATGCCTATGTAATAGCCGCTTGAATGCCCCCAATGAGGCCGACTCCATGACCCTCTCCGGCAATGCATTCCATGCCCCCACCACTCTCTGGATGTTGAGCAACTCAGCAGATCTATCAGATGGTGTCCACTTCCATTGGCATACTCTATAACTCATAAGCTCCACTTCCTGCATTTCCTAATGACAAATTCAGTTTTTTAGTGTCTGCTTGAAGTCCAGTTGGGTTTGAACTAGTAGGCACTTTTGCATGGTTAGATCATTAATACCACTCTTGTCGCAATTGAATTAATGCCACGAGGCCCAGTATCCCATCATCAAGTCATCCTTTATTTACACGTGCATAGTACACAACACTGACCCAGCTAGCTCAGAGCCAGCTCCACGAGTGAACAGAACTCCTGACACTCCTGTTTATATCTGTCAGCCAGGGTTCTCTGATAGGACCAGATTAACAGTCTCAATCAGGGAACTCATATTCTATCAGGTCCACCTGGCTGACCTCATTACAATCACTACAGATAGATTCTTGATCAGTAGGGGCATTGAATGTCATGGAGAAACGGTGGGAAAGTGAGGATGAGGAATGTCAGAGCAGCCATGGTCCTATTGAATAGCAGAGGAGCTGAATGGCCTCCTCCTGTTGCTTTTCTTATGGTATTATGCCCTAAAAGGGGTTGATTAGCTCATTTAGCTGGATGGCCAGCTTGCAGTGCAGAGTGATGCCAACAACATGGGTTTAATTCCCATACTGGCTGAGTTTACTACAAACGCCTCTCCTTCAGAACCTCTCCCTTGACCCAAGGTGTGGTGACCCTCAGGTTAAGCCACGACCAGTTGATTCTCTCTAATAAGGGGCCTGCCCATGGTAACTTTATCTTTATTCATTTAGCATTAATTTCTTCCCTTTTGAGCCCACCACCCAAAATGCATTTCACAAAGCTCTAAAATGGTCTTAATATGGCTTACCTATTACTGGATTACTGATGGAGAAGCTGAATTCTGATAGGCGTATCTGTCAGATTAGCAAGTACAAATCCGACCACAAAATTGCCAGGAAACGATCATTTCCAATCAAGAGAAAATCGAAACACCTTCGCCGACTTTCAATAACATGATATTGTCATAGGTAGAAGTAGATGTTCTAAGTCGCAGATAGAAAATGGTTGGCCATTTTGGGAATGGCCATTACCAGGTACATGTCACATGTGTGGCTAAAGCCATTGAAGTATCTACAAACCTAATCCTCATTTAATTCTTTAATCATGTAAAGCCTGTGCACTTTACAGCTAGACTCCTCTATTCCTTGCCAGTGCAGTTCTGGCTTTCTGGCAAACTGTCAAGGCACTGGGCATTTTATCGTGTAAACTCATCAACCTTTTACTTTGTGTTGTCTTTTTGCAGGAGTCACCGTTATCCTCTGTAACAGACTTTCTGTTTCAATTTACCACCCGAGAGCTGGTATCTCTGATCTGATTGTGGCTTACTTATGCCTAATGACTCACCACTTGTCGATCTTAAATCTGCCCTCTTACTGTCCATGCAACTGCCGGCACATGACTCATAAATATAACTGAAAATCACGCGGAATACAGAAGGTTCAGCATGGGTATTTCATTCTAATCTTTCCCTCTCCGAGGAGAAAAGCCCCAATATCTCCAAGCTATCTTCGGAGCTGAAGTTTCTCATTCCCGGGTCCATTCTTATAAGCCTCTTAGGCAGATTCTCCAATGCCTTTACATCATGCAGTACGAGGGAAACCCTTTTTTTCCCCCGCAGGTAACGTGTGGAACTACAGTGTGGAATGCATTGCCTGCAAGTGTGGTGGAGGCAAATTCAAGAACGAGATTCCAGAGGGCCGTGGAATCGAAACAACTGGGGAGAAAGCAGGAGATTGATGTTCAGACACAATGCTCATTTGGAGAATCCGCGGGCCACAATGGCCCAAATAGCTCATTCTGTGCCATTACAAAAATATGATACACTTTACTACTTAACAATAAGATGAACAGTGAAATCGCTAGTTCCTTACCTCCCTTGTGCCAATCACTTGAATAACTATATGCTTGGTAAGTACAGGTTGTTCTCTCCCCGGAGGCAGTTATTATCTTTTATTAATATTTGGTTGGGTTTTACCTTTGTATCAGTTTTCAGTCAACTGCTAAATCTATTTATCCTCTCACTCAAATCACTTTGTGTCTGTGCGGCTGACAAACCGTCAATACGTGGGGACGGAGACAGTAGGAACTGCCGATGCTGGAGAATCTGAGATAACAAAGTGTAGAGCTGGATGAACACAGCAGGCCAAGCAGCAGCAGAGGAGCAGGAAGGCTGACGTTTCGGGTCTAGACCCTTCTTCAGACCCTCTCCTGCTCCTCTGATGCTGCTTGACCTGCTAATACATGGGAACGATTGGCAATGCACTTGATCCACCAAGAGGAGGCAGCCCAATCTGTTTAATCCGTGTGCCTGTCCCTGCATGACTCAACCGTACACTTCTCGCTCTGACAGTTTCTGTGCATCAATGCCAAGGTAAACACAATTATTACAGACATTGGAATGCCCAACAAGTCTAATCACATTGGTAAAATAGAAGGCAAACTAATGTCTTATGTATAATTTGCAGCTCAGGAGTGAAGTGATATTAATTGTCATGACAAATTTATGTGTAAGTACAAATCCATGCGCTGACCTTTTAAGATCAGAAAAGAATGTAGACAAACAAAGTAGGGGTGGAGTAATGAGAACTGACGTAAATAACGTGGTCATAGTGACAGTAAAAGGTGACCATTCCTGATTTTAATTGCTCCCTAATTGGTGACAATACCTGTGTCCAAAACTTGGGAATTCACTCTCGAAAATACCTTGCTCTTTTAAAGTCTAACTCCTTCATCAAGCTTTTAGCTTTTCAACTGAATTACTCCTTTTTTGGCTCAATGTCATTTTTGTGGAGTGGTTTGAGAAACTCCATTACGTTAAAGCTACTAAACAAATTACTCATTGAATATGAATAGACACAATGGGCAAAATCCTACATTTCTTTGGTTGAGTCTGAGTCTCATTGAGTTTTTTCAGAGGCTTTGTTTCTGCAAGGCCTGCTGAGCACTTTCACTGTATTTAAACAAATTCAGCTCATTATTGGCCTACCCTGTCCCAATGGCTTCTCTCATGTCTAATTTCTATTCTGTTTTACCATATGCCATTCACAGAAGAACTTCCAACTCACCGGATTTATGCCAAGACATTGGCATCCCTTGTGTCCACACCATCTTTAAAAGCCCATTTTGAACCGGGATAAGCACTGTCAGCTTTCCTGGAGATAGTAGACATGGTGAAATAGGTACCCTACTTTGCAGGCAGGATGCTGGAAGTCCTGCCGGATGGGGTGGTGCCAATGTGTAACTGTCTTCTCCCCCAGGGCAGGCAGTAGGGGCCATAACACCATATCATACCATCTTCTGAGTTTTCCACTCAGATTAAAGCAGTCCCAGCCATCTGGAGGAATGCCTAGCATTGTAGAAAGAACATCAATCACCTTCTCCACCCTCCTGCAGCATAAGTGCCACCATTTTCTCTCCAATACCTCGCACTCACTCTGTCTCTGCTACTGTCTCTGCCACCTCTCAGCAAGTGGTGGTGTTTCCATGTCTCTGCTGCCCTTGTCCTTCCAGATGGAAGTGGTTGTGGGTTTGGAAGGTGCTGTCTTGGGATCTTTGGTGAATTTCTGCAGTGCATCTTGTAGATAGTACACACTGCTTCTACTGAGCGTCGGTGGTGGAGGGAGTGGATGCTTGTGGATGAGGTGCCAATCAAGCGGGCTGCTTTGTCCTGGATGGTGTCAAGCTTCTTGAGTGTTGTTGGGGCTGCACCCATCCAGGGGCAGTCAGGGAGTATTCCATCACACTCCTGATTTGTGCCTTGCAGATGATGGGCAATCTTTGGGGAGTCAGGTGGTGAGTTACTTGCCGCAGTATTCCTAGCCTCTGACTGGTTCTTGTAGCCACTGTGTATGTGGTGTGTCTGGTTGAGGTTTTGGTCAATGGTAACCTGTAGGATGTTGATCATTGTGGATTCAGTGCTGGTAACACCATTGAATTTCAAAGGCAGTGGTTAGATTGTCTCTTATTGGAGATAGTTGTTGTCTGGCATTTGTGTGTCATGGATGTTATGTACTGTTTGTTAGCCCAAGCCTGGATATTGTCCGGATATGGTTGCATTTGAACAAGGACAGCTTCAGTATCAGAGATTTGTTGCTGAACATTGCGCAACCATCAGCAAGCATTCGCACTTCTGACCTTTGATGGAGGGAAGATCATTGATGAAGCAGCTAAAGATGGTTGCACTTAGGAGTCTATCCTGAGAAACCTCTGCAGAGATCTCCTGGAGCTGAGATGACTGAATTGCAACAAACACAACCATCTTCCTATGTGCCAGGTACAACTCCAACCTGGGGAGAGTTTGCCATGATACCCCTTGGTTCCAGTCTTGTTAGGGCTCTCTGATGCCACACTCAGTCAAATGCAGCCTTGATGTCAAGGACTGTGTCACTGTGAGGTGAAAGCGATGTTGTTGGCATCACTCTGTATCGCAATCCAGTCATCCAACAAACTGAGCTAAACTCTCACTGTAGCCCCACTGTCAGGGTCATTCATTGCACACCCTCTTAACCAGAGACCACAGCGTTTTCTCTGTGTTGTCTCTTGGAGGTGCCACCAGCGTCACCACTGGCCCTTTGGCAAAATGCCCAGCTTGCCCAGAAGTCACTCAGTTACTCTGACAATACCAAGGCCTCAAAGGGGCATCAGGAATGCTGCCTCCTGCACCCCCATTAGATCTGTCACTGACACCTCAGCTGGAGCACTGGGTTTAGAGAGTGTGGGGCCACAATCTGGTGAGCTCCTCACAGCAACGGCTCCACAGCTGACTGAGGAAGAAATGCCCCAGGCTGCTGGCACTACCTGCTCAGCCCCAGGCAGGAGAGGCCCCTATGGTGCTAACAATCAGGGACCTTGTCCCCACGCACACAGAAGGACAGGAGCAGCAGGCAGGGATGTGTGACTCATTGATTCTGATCATTCAGAAACTGCAATCAGTTTCTGCACATGGACAGGTTGTCAGCTGTCATGGAGAGCCAGAGCAGCACCATCAGTGTCTGCAGGAGAGAGCCCAAACCTGCTCTCCATCTTCCAGCTATTGGTCCACAGGACTGAAGGAACGATGGTAGGGGAAGGAGGAAGGTGCTGCCCACTCCAGCTACCCTTTCTTACAAGGATCCAGGAGAGACCCAGCCAGAGGAGGAACCACACCCAGCCCTCCTCAGAGGTCTCCATTCAGAATGTTCCAGAGATAACTGGGCCCTCCACCTTCACTCTGCCTGCCCCCCTCTAACGCTTGGAAGTTCACACCGAGGAGGATCAGCTTGCCTCTGGCAAGAAAACCCTCGGCATGTCTGGCTTGTCTGTACATAAGCTGCCCCCGAGATCGACTGAACAGAGCCCTGGGATCAATAGGCTCCACTGCTGAGCACAGTCCCTCCATCCAGGCTGTGAAATCAGAGAGAACCCTAAGATATGGTGTAGGGGGCAGGAAGAAGAAAATGTATTGAGGCACTTTGATGACAGTGATGATAATACACTGCTTTTACAAATAACTTCACCTGACATCTAGTAGACCATCGCTCTTTGTGGCTGTGAATGTGATTTGTTGCAGCGTGAGGTATAATTCCATGGGCACAGACAATGGAGTCTGTCCGCAGACCCTACTGCATTATCAACAAGCAAGAGCTGTGTGTGCAGCTGATACCGTTAGCCTCTGTTCTACACCTACTCATCTGCCTCTCTGTCCTACACCTATTCATCTGCCTCTCTGTCCTACATCTATTCATCTGCCTCTCTGTCCAAAAGTGTTTATGTGAATGATATCTGGGGCAAGGAAATTCAAACACAAACAGGGTGACAGTGCATTGGGATTGCCAGGAAATACGGACTCCGCAGGGCTGTGTCTTGTACAGTATATAGATCTGCATTTAATGTTCTTTCCCTTAAAAGTCCAAACTACAATGTTGACCCCTCCCCTCCAGGTTGACTCACTATACACTACGAGTGTGGTTGTGGCCATTTTCTTCCTGTAGCACATTTTCAGTTTCCAGCAATGAGCGCTCCCTGTCCAGCAGCTCGCAGCCTCCACCTCAATGTGTCAGTGACCTCTCAAACACCCAGATCCCCTTCATGGTAGCCCTTCCTGTAAACCCCACTGGCTTTGTATTGATCCAGAGCCCATTTACATGAAGCTGCACCTGCCCACAGTATGCACGTTCCCCAACCTACCTTTCCAATGGAACTGGATTTATAAAACACAGCTACCAGGTTCTACTTTCCCTCTAATTATTTATTCTTCTGATGGACCCTCAGGCCTGTGTGCAGCAGCAACTTCTGGAACCAGAGGTTGGTGCTGGGCATGGCATTAGCAATGTTAAATGCACAGAGCTGCACAGTTTAGAGGGAACATTGACCAAGTTCCTTTATTTAACAAGATCTATTGTTTGTTACCAATAAACAAGTTCTAGCCACAGGTAAACAAAAGGTTAAATTATCAACATATAATTCCCCTTGGTGAAAATCTAAGTCCCTTTTAAAACTTCTACACACACCGATAAACAAGAAGTGCTGTGGATGAAGGGAAAAGCACTGGGGAAATGCATTTTAAGAGCACCCCATAGACTTTGCATGAAGCCAGCTTACCACCAAACACATCTACACGAGCCTGCACATGCCCAATACCACAAGTGTTCAAGAGTTAATCAGAGTCCGCAAAGACCCCAATTTACCTTTCCCCAGACTTCATTGAGATGTTCATTTTTCTTCCCAAGACCTTGTGTTCTCTAATCCCTATCCTTTGA